ACTTTGGGCTATTGTACATGAAGACATCACCCTCGCTGGGGCCTCTCATGCTTTCTCATCTCCATTGAAAGGTTCATTGTCCCTGCTTCTTACTTAGAATTCTTGGCCTCATCTTTGAATCTCCTCTTCTTTTTTTTTTTTTTCAAGATTCACTTTTAATACCACTTTTTTTTTTGACCCATGTGGTAACATCTATTGGCTGAATAATTTTTCATTATACTATATGCTTCATTTTGTTTATTCATTCATCTATTGATTTAAACCAATTTGTAAAAGGAAATACCTAGCTGGGTATGGTGGCATACCCCTATAATCTCAGCTACTTTGAAGGCAGGAGGATTTGTAAATTCAAGGCAAGCCTTCCCAATTTAGTGAGACCCTGTCTCATAATAAAAAATAAAAAGTCACAGTGGCACATACCTCTAATCCCAGGGGCTTCGGAGGCTGAAGCAGGAGGATCTCAAGTTCAAAACCAGCCTCAACAATAGCAAGGCCCTAAGCAATTTAGTGACACCCTGTCTCAAAAAATAAATAAACAAACAAATAAACAAATAAATAAAAAAAATAAAAAGAACTGGGAAGGGGTTTGGGGTTGTGGCTTAGTGGCAGAGCACTTGCCTCCCATGCCCTGCATTTGATCCTCAGCACCACAAACATGAATAAATAAAATAAAGGTATTGTGTTCATCTACAAGGTCTGGGCATGTGAGGGTGAGGTTAAGTGCCCCTGGGTTCAATCCCTGATACCAAAAAAAAAAAAAAAAGAGTTAATTGGTAAGTGTTTATTATAAGATTGAAACTTGTGTTGAAGGGCTCTAAGGAGATTATAGCATGAGTCCTAGATTGATGCAGTTCAGAAGCAAGGGTAATTTGGTGATTCAGTAAAGCTTTGGTAATTTTTATGTAGAGGGCCATAGGGTTAAGGTGGGTCTAGAGATTTGTGATTGGTAAAGGAACTGCAGTCATTTATACTATATTAATAATTTTATGGTTTTAGGGTGGCCTTGACTATCTTTCTCAATTGCAGTTGCAGAACAGTCTTCTCTAATTATTGTTTCTATCCTCTGAGAATATTTTTTGTTAGGAACATTAGAGCCTAGCTGTCAGCAACTTAGGTTATCTTTTTACTTGCAATTCCCCATTTTACTAAAGAGCAGCCCGTGAGACATATTCTGTGAAATTCCATTTCATTATCAAGAGTTCCCTGATCAGAAGGGCATGTAGAAAAAAGAGAGAGAGAGAAAAAAGAAAGTTTAGAGAGAATACCCTCTGTTGCTTAATTCAAGTCAATACTTCATAGTCCTTTTGTTGAAAATGAGCTATGAAATCATCAGATGTAATAATGAATACTTAATATCCTCATTTATTTGTTTCCTGGAATCTTTTTAATGGTATTAAAAGCCCAGAGAAATCTGTAAGGATGTAATTATAACATTTTTCTTTTAAGACAGCGTATGTTCTACCTTGAAAAACTAATGTTATATCCACACTCTACAAGTTTATGCCATTTAAGTTTATAACAGAAGTTGCTAAAGTCCTTTCCGTTAAGGTTATTCTTTAATTTTCTCCAGAACTTAAAAACTCCTTGTCTAAGATCATGGAGAACCTAATTAGGTGGCTGGTGAGGACAGTGTCAGTTCATACCTGTTGGTTAATTGGTGATAAAACTAAACTGGCTAAGCTATGGATCCAACCTAGGTGCCCTTCAACAGATGAATGGATAAGGAAAATGTGGTATATATACACAATGGACTATTACTCAGCCATAAAGAAGAATGAAATTATGGCATTTGCTGGTAAATGGATGGATCTGGAGACTATCATGCTAAGTGAAACACTTAAATATGTACATTTAAGTGTTTACATTTTCAAAATTTGTTGCTAGTGTATATTGTGTGTTGATCTTATATCATGCAAATTTGCTGGATTTGTTTATTAGCTCTAATTTTTTTTTTGTGGATTGTTTAAGATTTCTATATCTTTGTGTATGTGTGTGGGGGGAAGTTTTGGGACTTGAACCCAGAGACCTTTATCACTGAGTCACATCCAACATCCTCCCCCCCCCCCCACAACGTCCTTTTTATTTTATTTTGAGACAGGGTCTTCCTAAGTTGCCAAGGCTGGCTTCAAACTTGTGATCCTTCTGCCTCAGCCTCTTGAGTCACTGAAGATTTCTATATACTAAACATATGAAATAAGGTCATGTCTTCTGTGAATAAAAATAATTTTGTCTTCTTTTAATTTGGAGACAAGATATGAAAATTAGCCATAAGTATCAAAAACAGTTATAATAGACATTTTGAAAACACAGCAATCAGAAACAATGTTGGTAAGTATAGATCTAACAGGCCAAAGCAGAAAGCCATGGTATTCATGTACAGAATACTGTAGGAGTTCCGATCAGAAACAGCCAAGTCAGATTGCAAACCAAGGAAGACCTAAGAGTTGGTGCTTCAACTGAGTCACTGAGAGTAAAATCTATCTGGAGGTGGGGGGGAGAATATATACTAAATTATAAATAACTTAGACTAGTAGTTTAATCGCAAAGGAAGGAATACAAATCAGTAGATAATACAGGAAAAGAATCTTACATGGATTGGATTGGGTGGGAATGGAAGGTGGTTTTTAAAATTCAGGTACAATTGAAATAGAAAGACAGTGGGAAGAATTGAAATCACAGGTGAAGAAACAAATTGGGAGAAGATAAGTAGCAATTTTGGTGGCTGCAGAGCTCATGGAAGGGAATAGTGTTAAATATATTTATATGTCTCTGAAGATAGGTAGGTTAAACTCAGTCTGCGTTAATTTTCAAAACTAGGCTAAGTGAACTGGATCAACAGGGGTGTTCAGTGGGGAAAGTGAAGGATGACACAGAAATGGACATAGGAGTGAGAAAAGGAGAAAGGAGACTTACTTCATCTCTCCTCTTCGAACTTCCAGTTATTGTATGAAAAATGGGCAAGATAAACTGTACTTACAACGAAACAGATGAATAAACTGTCTTATAACCAAACAGATGAATAAACATTTTGATGAATACTTGGTGCAATGTTCTTGAATAGTACTTCTCAAAGTACTGTTCAATCTGGTTTAGGAATTTCTGTGGTTTCTTATTATCTTTCTGGAAGTTTCTTAATATTTAGAATGTGATAATGTTCCGTTTTTTTGGTATCCTTTGTGAATTACCATAGTTAAGGCAAATACCACGTCAAAATTTGATGGATTAATGATGATATTTTTGAAAATTAATTTTTTTTACATTGTTGGGGATTGGATTTAGGGCCTTGTACATTCAAAGCACTTGCTCTCCCATGAGTTACCTTCCCAGCACTCTGAAATTATTTTAACTATATAAGTAATATATGAACATATTTAAAAAAATTTTTTTAGTTATAGATGGACACAATATCTTTTTTCAAAAAATATTTCTTTTTAGTTTTTTTAGGTGGACACAATATCTTCATTTCATTTTTATGTGGGGCTGAGGATCCAACGCAGTGCCTAATGCATGCCAGGTGAGCGCACTACCACTTGACCACATCCCCAGGCCCTGGACACAATATCTTTATTATTTACCTTTACATGGCGCTGAGGGTCGAACCCAGGGCCTCACATGTGCAAGGCAAACACTCTACCACTGAGCCAGCCCCTACATGAACATATTATTATCATAAAAAATGAAAATATAGCCTGTAGTTCCAGAGACTTGGGAGCTGAGGCAGGAGGACTGCAAGTTCAAGGCCAGCCTCAGCAACTTAAAACATTCAGGGGCTACACACTCCAGCAGATGTTCAGAGTACAAGAAAATGGGCAGGAGAATCATGACCATGTGCTTCTGGAGGTATAAAGTGGCTTTGTTATTTTGTAGCCTCTCCTGGAAACAGGAATAGTCTGTAGAGATGGGCAAGTAGTCCCAGAAGTAGGGATGAGCAGAGTCAAGGGCACAGACTTTATGTTGCCTGGCTTCTGGATTTCAAGAAACTTGGTGTTGACGATAACGTTAGGCACCCAGGGCAACGTAGTAGTGATGGAAGGCAGAGCTCACAGGTGTGATGGGTAATGTATATGAGAATAGGCTAAGTGCAGAGCCTGGAGAAGAAAAACCAGCCAAACCCGTATTAAACCATGTGGACCCCTTGGGAAGATTGTCCTCAGCATCTGGTTTAGACCTCAAATTCCCACAGACCGACAAGTGGATTGTTATTTATTTATTGTTTCTGGGTTTTTTGTTTGTTTGTTTGTTTCTGGGGATTGATCCCAGGGCCATTTTTGTTTTTTGTTTCTGGGGATTGATTCCAGGGCCTCCCACAAGGAAATCTTGCTGTATAACTGAGCTACACTCCCATCCCCTTATTGGTGTATTTTCTTTTTCTTTTCGTTTGTTCTTTTAAACACATGGCCTTGCTGTGTTTCCTAGGCTGGCCTTGAACTCCTGAGTGGGACCATAGGCACCTGCCCCAGTGTGGTTTATACTATTTTTTTTTTTTTTGGTTTTCAACAGTGGGGATTAAACTCTGGGTGTCATGCATGCTAGACAAGCAATCTATCACCGGGTTACATCACCAGGCCTTTAAAATTTTTATTTTAAGAGAGGGTCTCCCTAAGAAGCATACACTAGTCTTGAGTTTGCGATGCTCCTGCCTCAGCCTCCTGAATAGCTGAGATAATGGCGTAGTTATCAAAGTAATAATCATGTAAACAGACTTCCAAGGTGGCTGCACCGATTTAAATCAATGTGCTCACCCGTGTAATTATCTGTATTAACTGCTTATTTTGCAGAGACAGGATTCCTCAAAAGGATTGTAGGCCCCAAAACACAAGCCCTGCCTCCAGCCCTGTCCCCGCCCACTTCCCAGGCACTAGCTTAGGCCCTACCCCTTCCGCCCGGTGGTCCCGCCTCTGGGCGGCACCTCCTTTCCCAGGGCTAGTAGCGGGAGGGGCGTGGTGGCCCGCCGTGACGTCACTGCCGGCCAGACGCCATCTTGCTGGTTTGCGGAGGGACTTGGATGTAGCGGCGTCGGTGGTGAGGGCGTGGGGAAGGGTGGGGTGAGGGGGCGAGGCCGCGACGAGCGCGGCGAAACTCTCCACCCCTTGGCCCCACCGCGTGGGACTGCGTGAACGCGGTTTTGGAGGGATGTCCGCCTTCTCTGAGGCGGCGCTGGAGAAGAAGCTGTCGGAGTTGAGCAACTCGCAGCAGAGCGTGCAGACCTTGTCCCTGTGGCTCATCCACCACCGCAAGCACTCGCGGCCCATCGTCACCGTGTGGGAGCGGGAGCTGCGGAAAGGTGAGTCTCCTGCGCCTCTTGGCTTCCCTGGCGCTCCGGGGATCCCCTATCCCCCTTCCTCAGCGCCCGGCTCCCAAGAGGGCCCCTACTCGGGCCCCGCCGACTCCGACATCGGGAGATCTGTCTTCGTGCCCTCGCGCGGTGGTCCGCGAGCTTGTAGGTGCAGCGTGCATCGCGCTTCCTGCAAAGTCCGCGCTTAGTACCTATTTATTGAATAAAGAAGGGAATGATACTCTTAAAAAATGCGACTAATTTAATGCAGGTACAGCAGTAGGGGCTTGAGACTCTGCACCCAGCTGGGGTCAGAAACTCAGGCAGTCGGTATTCCTTTTTTTTTTTCCCCCCCCCCCTGAAGTTATAATATAGGATGGGGAGGGAAATGGAAAGGAAAATATTGGTGTGAGCTTGGGAGTTGGTTCCATAATTTCTAGAACCCAAGTCTTGTAAAATTAATAGATCAATTTTAGAACTGGGAGTCTAAAATAAGAAGACGCGTGATGCAGTAAAAAGAACCCTGACTTTGTAGATTTTTAGAGGATATGGGTTGGTAAATTTCTTTTAACCTCTGTTATTGTAGATAATTCACCTGAAAATGAAAAAGTTAGAGCTAATGATCTAAAGGCTGTTTTTGCTTTATGAGTATATGCTTCTAGTGCAGTGTCTTTGTTTTGTAGCATATTTGACAGTGTTCTTGTAAACGTAGTAAACTTTTTTGAGCAGATGTCTTGCTGAAATATCCAAAATCATTTCACTTATGCAGAGCACCTTTGTGAAAAACAGTTTATGTTAGTGCCAACGGAAAAGAAAAAATTCCACTTTTCTACTTGCTTAGCCTTGAGTTTGTATCTTTATTCTTAATTCATTGGGTTTGAGTGGGCACTTTTCTTTATTGTTTCAGACATCCTGATGGACATGATGATTATTAAAGTGTGAAGAGTCTTAACAAACATTAATCAAAATAGATGCTTACTAACTGACTTGTATGAAAGCCAAAATATGGTGGTGACTGTGTAGAATGGAGACCGCCTGTGCTTGTCTTGTATATTGCTGTGGTTAAGGAAATGTCATCCCTTAGAAGAAATTTGAGTTGCAGCCCTGTTTTTCAGTTTATGTAGACATGTATGTGTATTGACTTTGAAGGAGGAATTCATCTATGAGTGGACAAAAACGTTTGCAAAACACTGATAAGGTCTTCAAAGTAACTGTGAACTTGAGAAGTCAATAGTTTCTGCACTATTAGATTTCAAAATCAGCACCTGGTTTATCTTTTGGGGGGCTGGGAGAGAGTATGTAGAAACACCTACAACCAATAAAGTATTAATACCCAGACTACCTTAAGAACTGTTAAAAATTAATAGAAAAATGACAGTACTGTTTTTAAACTTTTCAGGAGGAAACCTGAATGCCAACAAATGATACTTAGTAATGAGGAAAAAATAAACCAGCAAGGTATCATTTTATGTTCATCAGTTTGGCAAAATTAAAATGAATGACAGTATCAAGAACTGCTGAGGATGAAAAGAAACAGTAACTCTTTTTTTTTTTTTGTACTAGATATTGAACCAAGAGTTGCTTTACCATTGAGCCACATCCCAGTCCTTTTTATTTTGAGACAGGACCTCACTTTTAGTTGTGGAGGCTGGCCCCAAACATGAACATCAGATCCTCCTGTCTTAGCCTCTCAGGTTGCTGGGATTACAGTTGTGGGCCACCGCACCCAGTGAGAAACAGTAACGCTTAACACTGCTTGGTGGAAATGTAAAAAGGTAAAATAATTCTGGAGGTCAATTTAATAACCTTTAATGAAATTGAAGGTATACACCCTTTAACTTAGCAGTTCTCCTTCTAGGAATATATCCTAGAAATGAGTACATGCTACAGAATTGTTTTATTGCAGCTTTGTAACAAAAATGGAAACAATTTGAACATTCCATTAAAGAATGAGCAACCATATTTTTATATTCATATAGTATAATGCTGTCCAACAGTTTTCATAAATGAACTAGAGCTACATTAAAGAACATGACTGAATTAAGAAACAACAAACAAAATCTTGAGCTAAGAAAACATTAGGTATAGACCAGTATGCCATTTGGTAAAGTTTAGAAACATGTAAGAATGATACTCTTTTTTGTTTACATATAGCTGTAGATATAGTTAAATCATGAATAGCAGTGTTTAACACTATATTCCAAGATAGTAATTGTCATAGGAAGAGAGGAAATGCAATGGGATTTGTGCTATCTAATGTTTCATATGTTTTAAAACAAGCCCATCACAGTATTGCATCTCCCAGTTACTTGGGAGATTGAGAAAAGAGGATCACGAGTTCAAGGCTAATCTGGGCAACTAGAGACCCTGTCTCAAAATAAAAATAAAAAGGATTGTATCTGTAAACTTTGAAAAGTCAAGAATTTGCATTGTATTGGGACTGGGGATATAGCTCAGTTGGTAGAGTGCTTGTCTTGCATGCACAAAGCCCTGGGTTCAATCCCCAGCACCACACACACACACACAAAGAATTTACATTGTAGTGATAGTGTGCTTACCTAACATGTGAAGTCCTGGATTCAATTCCAATACCACAAAACGTTTTAAAAAGGTACAAATATGTGAAAATGATAAAATGTGCTGTTAACTGAGTTTAAGGATGTTTCCATTTTTTAAAAAAAATCCTTCATAATTAGGAAAAAAAAAGGTGTATCAATAGATGCTTTAGGAAGGGTGATGATGGTGAATGTAGTGGTGGTGGTGGTGGTGGTGAACATATTGCTGTTGCAATTCTTATATTGGTCTGAATTAGCCTACCAAGAGTTTCCTTTCCTTGACAGTGACTACCTTTGCAGGGTACTTTTTGTGTCCTCTCACCTTCTTGCAGTTTTGTTTTTCAATTTCAACATCCTAGTCTCATGTAGCACAATGATAATGGCAATCACATACTGATTGTGGACTAGGAAACTACCACTTTATATTATGTTGTAGACTGGGGGTGTGTGTCATGTTGGTTATGAAGTAAGGTAGTGGGCTTCTTTGTGTTGTTTTCTTATTTCAATTTTTAGCTTTCTTAGCCCTAGCAGACTACTTTTGTTGAAAGTTTTTGGGTATTTGTTGAATTCATATTCACTAATAAGGTTATAGGTTAGATGCTGGTTTTATGTATTGTACATATCTAAAAAAATTTTTTTGTAGTTGTAGATAAACAAAATGCCTTTATTTTATTTGTTTCATTTCTGTGTGGTGCTAAGGATTGAACCCAGTGCCTCACACATGGGAGGCAAGTGCTCTGCCACTGAGCTACTGACCCAGACCTGTACTGTGTGTGTGTATTTATTTTATAAAATATTTGTTTTTTAGTTGTAGTTGGACACAATATTTTATTTATTCATTTTTATGTGGTGCTGAGGATTGAACCCTGGACCTCGCAAGTCCTAGGCAAGCGCTCTACCGCTGAGCCACAATCCCAGCCCCAATACCTTTGTTTTATTTATTTATTTTTCTGTGGTACTAAAGATCCAACCCAGGGCATCCCACATGCTAGGCAAGCACTCTACCTCTGTACTGTATATTTTTAACTGCTTTATTTTATTTGGTTTTAGAAAGTAGAAAGTTAAAGAATATTTGTCAGTTGCTTTAAAAACATATAGCAATATAAATCATTGAAATGGAGATTCTGAATTGATAATTCCATGGCTTCTATACTGTCTGATACTGTTACTTCTTTCTCTTTTAGAGTTAGAATTGAACAAGTAGACAATGTTTATATTTTCTTTCTAAGTTTTTATACTTAAAAGGATTTTATGTTTTCAAGCTGACTTTATAAACTTAATCGTATTTTCTGCATCTTTGAAGATAATTGTCAAATTATATTTTGGTTTGTATTTATTTTTCTTACTTTCTTTTTAAAGGTTTTTCACATTCCTTTCCAATAATTAGATTTGTAGTATAAAGTGATTTTTGTAACATTTTGATGGCAGGTTTAAATTATCAGCCAGTAGGCTGATTAAAAAACAAATTATTATAAAAGATGTCAAACAGGTATACATTCCCATTGTAGTCATTGCCTAGCTTTCACGATTTTAACCTTTAACATCTGAAAAAATTTAGTTTCTTAAAATATTATCAGATATTCAAAAAGTATTTTTTTCCTTGTTATCTTGTTCTTTTTCTTTCTTTTTTTTTTTTAGCCATTTGTTTGATTCAGGATCCAAATAGCTTCCTTATTGCAATTTATTACCATATTCCTTAAATCTATTTACATCTATGGTTTCTCCTTTTCATTTTAAATTTATTCATTGAAAAAAGATCAAATTGGTTATCTCATAGAAATTTCCAGTCTAGACTAGGAATTTCTGAGACTTTTTGGTTTGAGGATTCCTTTACTTTTAAAAATTGTTATGAAGTTAGGCATGGTGATACACACTTGTAATCTAAGCTACTTGAGAGGCTGAGGTAGGATCACAAGTTTAAGGTGAGCCTGGGCAATTTACTGGGATCCTGCCTCAAAATAAAGAAGGGCTAGGACTGTAGCTCAGTGATAAAATGCTTGCCTAGCATGCATGAGAACCTGGATTCATTTCCCAGCACTGGGAGAAAAAAAATATTGAGCACTTCAGGTCTTTTTTTTTTTTTTAATGTGGATTAAATCTATTGGTAATTGCTACATTAGAAATTAAAACATTTAAAATAGTTACTAATTATTTAGCTTATTAAAATGACAATACTAAATTGATCAGGTTAACAAAATAACATTTTGAATAAAAAATAATTATATTTTCTAAAAAAAAATTGGAGAGTGTTTTACATTTTTACAAATCTTTTTTGTGTTTATGGTGTTGGTCCAGGGCCTCCTGCATGGTAAGCATGTACTTTACCACTGAGCTATACTTATATACTTAGACCCTGCAAATCTCTATAATGTCTTAATCGAAAGCACTTGGATTCTCAAGTTTGTTTCTGAATTCAGTCTTGGTGTATCACACATCACATGACCTTTGAAAAAC